CTCTCCTCACTCTCTACTCTCTCCTCACTCACTCTCCTCTCTCTCTCTCTCTCTCTCTCTCTCTCTCTCTCTCTCTCTCTCTCTCTCTCTCTCTCTCTCTCTCTTCTCTCTCACTCTCTCTCTCTCTCTCTCTCTCTCTCTCTACTCTCACTCACTTTCACTCACTCCTCACTCACTCACATCACTCACTCACTCTCTCTCTCTCTCTCTCTCTCTCTCTCTCTCTCTCTCTCTCTCTCTCTCTCTCTCTTCCAGTCGGTGAATTCCATTCTTCTCGTCTCGCGCTTCCTACTCACTACTCTTGACACCTTTCCATTTTCTCAGGGTCCTCGAAATACGTTTTTTTTTTTCTCTCTCTCTCTCTCCCACTCTCGTTTTCTGTGGCCGGCTGTAGTACTATCAAAATGCCACCCACATATTCTTAATGACGTCAGCTCTTGATCGTATCTCATCACTTCGATATCCGAGGCATGAAAAAAAATGTTGTAACTCTCGATGATGCATCTTCACTTTTCTAAGTTGTTAGAACCTCAAGTTTTGATGAGTTTTGACTCTGAGGATATTAGGCTGTTACGATAAATTTTGCAACCTTGAACAAGCGGCTCCCACTTCGCTGAAACCATCGCTGGTGATTACGTTCTCGTTGTCCTCCAAATATTTTCAAAGACAGCTAAACGTTATTAGAAGTTGCGAACGGACCCGTAATGTGAAGCAATTGCAATGATACCGTACTGTATGGACAGCGAATGAGGCTGAGTTTCATAAGTTTAGAGGAAGGGCTATTAAAAGGTAATTTAAGGGTAATCTTAAGCGTGTTTGCGATTTATGGGCGATTTTATAAGCCTTTTAGTTACGGGTTATTGGATTCCCGTTGATTTCGTTGATTTAATCGCTTCACTGCGAAAAATTGTTAATTTTCAGGTAGGCCGTAGGCTTATATCTCTAATGGACAGATAAATGTAGCGAAAGAATAAATGGGAATAAAACAAAGTAAGAAGTGGAATGACTTTTCCTCTTTTGTGAAGTCATATATTTTCGTTCATTTCTTAATTTTACCACTACGGCAATGCACGCTATCGCAGTATAGCGCATAATTACCGATATAGAAACTAATGATAACAAAAAGAAAAACAATAATAATAATAACAAAACAAATAAGGGCAAAAAAAATTATATATGCGACCTCTTCTTTCACTTCATCAGCCGAGACAGAGACGCAGCGGCATGCGCAATTTCATCTTTTTCCCGCGCTTTTCCCTCCGCCAGGTGCGCCATAATTACGTGAGAGTAAGAGTAAGAGCATTTAATTTCCGTCCAAACTGTGAGGCTTAATATTAAAGTTTGTAAGTAAATTTGCATACTTTATTATTAATCCGTCTTTGAATAGAAAATGCATGGGAGTACATATATGATTATGCAAATAATTTTGTGGTATAATGAAACGGGATATTCGTTTGTGCTTTTTTTGGTCGTCCAAGTTTGAATTTATAATATCTTGTCAGGCAAATGTTGATTTTGCTTTTAATTTTTACCTTTTCCTTATTTTCACCTCTCTCTTTTGGCACTTTTGCCATCTTTTTATCATTTTTATCATTCTTATTAACATTATCATTCTTATTACCATTATTATCATTCTTATTACCATTGTTATCATTCTTATTTTCATTGTTATCACTCTTGTTATTAACAATTATCAATATCACTATTTTCATTATCAAAATCATTATCAATATTATTCGATTTTTTGCTTGTCATTTCATGTCGAGTTCTCTGAGCTCGGAGATTGCAACGCTCGCGGGATTTCATGGCTTTTCTTTGTTGTTTATTGCAATGTAAGTGTGTTGTCTGTCTCTCTCTCTCTCTCTCTCTCTCTCTCTCTCTCTCTCTCTCTCTCTCTTCTCTCTCTCTCTCTCTCTCTCCTCTCTCTCTCCTCTCTCTCTTCTCTCTCTCTCCTCTCTCCTCTCTTTCTCTCTTTCTCCTCTTTCTCTCTTTCTCTCTTCTCTCTTTCTTTCTCTTTCTTTCTCTCTTTCTTTTCTTTCTCTTTTCTCTTTCCCTCTCCTCCCTCTCCCCCTCCCTCCTCCTCCCTCCCTCCCTCCTCCTCCCTCCCTCCCTCCTCCCTCCCTCCCTCGCCTTCCCTTCCTTCCCTCTCTTCCTTTTCCTGCTGCTTCCCTCGTCTTCCCATCGCTGGTCCCATCTCCTCGCCAGCCCCGTCCCCCCCCCGTTCGTCGCCCCCCCCCTCTCCTTCCCGTCCGCCCCGCCCCTCCAGAAGGCTTGACAAGATCTCCCTCTATATAATGCAACGCCCTGGCGACAACAGCGAGATCCTGCATCAATAGCCTTTCTTATCTGACACTTGACCTGTCAGAGTGGCACTCAGCGAAATGGCTTGAGGAGGGGAGGCTGGAAGGTCGAGTTCGAGAGATATTGGAGGCGGCCCGGAGGGTGAGCAGTCGCTGGCGGGGGGTGGGGTGGGGGGAGGGGGTGGTGCGCACTTCGAGAAAAAGATTTTTGCAGAGGGATAGATAGGTTTTATATATCATGTGCTATATATATATATATATATATATATATATATATATATATATATATATATATATATATATACATATATTTTATATGTATATTTACATGTTTATGTATTTATATACACACACACACACACACAACACACATACACACACCACACACATACACACACACACACACACATACACACACAACACACACACACACACACACACACACACACAACACACACACACAACACACATACTTACATACATAAATGCATCCATCGATTCATCCACACATACATACATGTATACATACATACATACAATGTCCAACCATCCATCCAACATACATATATACATACATACATACACACACACATGCACGCATACACACAAATTCCTCCCTTTATGCTCTCAGTGCCATTGGGCGGCGCCCCCCAGTGCCCCCGAGGGCCCTTCCTCAATAACAGAGTGTTGGGTCCCGGAAGGCATTAGTAAGAGCCCCAAATGTTTCCTGCGTCCCTTACGCCCTTCCTTCTCCTCTCCTGTCGTCTCGCCCTTTATCCCTTTTCCTCTGCTTCCCCTTTCGCCCTTCCTCCTCTCCGCCCGACCCCTTTCCTTCATCTTCTTGCTCTTTCTTCTTTTCTTCTATCCTTTCTTCTCCCCTTCTCTTTTTGAGTCTCTTCCTAATCGTCTTCTTCCTTATCGGTGTCTCTCTCTTTCTCTCCCCTCGCGTGCTCTCGTGGTTCTTTCCTGTTCCTCTCTTCATGGCCCCTTCTTCCTTTTCTTCTCACACCTTTCGTTTCTCTTCCTTATCTCTTCGTCCCTCCTTCCTTCCCTCGTTGTGTCTTCACATCCTTCCATCCTCTTCCTTTTCTCCTCCCCTCCCCCTTCCTTCCCTCCTTTCTTACCCACCCTCCTCTCCTCCCTCCCAACTCTTCTCCTTTTTTCCCTCCCTCCTCCTAACCTCCCCTCCTTTCCACCTTCCCTCATTTCCTCCCTCCCCCCCCCTCCGTCCCTCACCTCCGAGGAGATAATACCCTCCCTCCCCACACAGGATCTGTAATTAAGGTGTCCGCGATTAACACTAATGCTGATGAATCTGTGCTCTCGAGGCGGCCGGGAAACCGAGGCCGATCTCTGGCGACGAGACGGATTGTGTGCCTGCCTACATCCGCGCCTGGCGATGGCACCGGTCCCAGATTCCGTAAGGCGCTCTTTGTCCGCCGCTGGATTCGTCTCCGATCCCGTTCCTCGCGTGTCCGGAGCTGTGGATGGCGCGGGATATCCGAGTTCTGTCTCTTAGTATCTATTTATTCATATATATAATATATATATATATATATATATATATATATATATATATATATATATATGTTCTATATCTCCCAACAATTGGATCAATTATGTACGTCCTGTTATTCATTACTGATAACATTTCTCCCTTTTATTGCTTGTTCGCTCACTCCCCTCCTTGATGAGCTTAAATATGCAAAATAGTTAAATATAATAGTCTCCCCAAACCTTCCGCCAGCGGCTCGAGGAGTTTAGCCCTAACTGCCCTGAGCTCAGTACCTTTCCACGCCGAATTCTGATCCTTATGTTTGAAGGAAGATGCAGCCTTATGTTTAAAAAGCGAAGCGAGAGTGAAAATATGGACAAAAAAACAAAGCGAAAGAAAATATAGTGTTTGGGGATGTTTTATAGCGGAAGAGCTTTGAATATATTTTGTGTTTGATAATGTTACCAACCAACTAATGGATTGTCTAGAAAGGAAAGTGCTCTCATGAATTTATTTTTTTCTGGAATTAACCGAATTTCGTTTTTTCACAGTCACAAAATGATCCTATTATTAATTATTATTATTAAAGCAAAGAAGATAATCAAGAAACATTTTATTTGACCTTAGTACTCTATGACCTTGCAACTTCATCATACCTTTTGGTACGCTGCCAACTGTTTGTATAGGAATGTGTAAGCGCCACAAATGCACTCATGCTTTGTATCTCTCTATAATCAATCGTTCTATGTCGATTTTCAAATATTCTTTTTGAGTATTTTGTTTTGATACTAAATGCAACATCAGTGCGTTAGGGGAGGAACATATAGAGAGGCCTATACATATAAATGTGTGAGTATTCCGTATTTGATATTATATTGTCAAGAGATGCGACAACCACATTGGGTAGGTAGTGAAATGTGGCTTCAGTTGTCCGTAGAGTTTCAACCTTATTACTTCCTCGTTAAACAGCCCACCCCGGTCCCCCAGGTCTGAAGCAAACGCATATCTGTTTCTTTTCCAGTGGAGATATTCCGAGCCCTCCCCACTCCTCCCCCTACCCCCCTCCAGGGTGTCATTACCTCCGTGCATCTAACCGGAAGAACAGGCAATGCACCATTATGGCCCTTCGGAGCATCTCTAAAGGCGACCCTAATGTGCCTGGATGGAGAGGTGTTAACAGACTGCGGCTCACTAACGACTGTATTTTATTTAGAGTGGGATGTTTCCAGCTCAACAGCCAGATTTTGTGGCGGTATTTTTAAGTTTTCTCTCTCTCTTTCCTCTCTTTCTTCTTCTTCTCTCTCTTCTTCTTCTTTCTCTCTCTCCTCTCTCTCTCTCTCTCTCTCTCCTCCTCTCTCTCTTCTCTCTCTCCTCTCTCTCTCTCTCTCTCCTCTCTCCTCTCTCTCTTCTCTCCTCTCTCTCTCTTCCTCTCTCTCTCTCATCTCAATCTCTCTCTCTCTCCTCTCTCTCTCTCCTCTCTCTCTCTCTCTCTCTCTCGCTCTCTCTCTCTCTCTCGTCATCTCTCTCCTCTCTCTCTCCTCAAATCTCTCTCTTCACCCTCCGCGTACCGGCGTCTCTCTCTCTCTCCCTTCTACTCATCTCTCCTCTCTCTTCTCTCTTCTCTCTCTCTCCTCTCATCCTCATCTCTCTCAATCATCTTATCTCTCCTCTCTCCTCTCCCTCTCCTCTCCCTCTCCTCTCTCTCTCTCTCTACCTCTTGCTCATCTCTCTCTCTCTCTCTCTCCTCTCTCCCTCTCCCTCTCCTCCTCTCTCTCTCTCTCTCTCCTCTCCTTCTCTCTCCTCCTCTCACATCTCATCTCTCTCTCTGTCCTCTCTTGCTCTCTCCCCTCTCCTGAGTAATAGTGTGTTGATGTGTGTGTGTGTTTGCGTATGTGTCTGTAGGAGTAAATTAAATGAGCAGCGTGCCTTTGTATTTGCATACGATTATTCTTTCAAACACCGCAAGATTAATTCAGCGTCAAGTCCCATTCATAAAATAAAGTAGCCAGAGCAAACACTTCTAATGATTGATACTACCTCCCCCCCCCCCATCCACGCTCTCCTCAAGCAGTGTTTCACGAAGATATCGACCCGCCCACGTATCGGCTTCTTATCACCCCCAGCGCGAGGAGGCGGGAGGGGCGGGCGCAAGGAGGGTCCACTTCCGCCCGGGTGAGCGTGAGGCCTGGAGGTGAGGGCTGATAACACGTCCTTAACACGCCGCGGCCGCCTCATCGCCCTCGGGAAATTGGGAGTTCCATGAGTCGGCAACACTTCGCACTTCGTTGCTCTCTGCGGGTTTCCTTCGTAAGAGGAGTTCGTAAGGGAGAGGTTTGATAAGAAAACGTGGCTTTGGAATTGAATAATTGATGAGAAATAAATAAATGAAGGTCGATTATCATATGAAAAGGAAATAATGAATGCACGATAATGATTGTTCCATGAGGAGATTCACCGCTCTCTTTTCGATTCGTAAAAAAAATTTCGAGCGTTTTGATAGCTGGAATAATAACTACATTAACGATAAAGTAATTTTATATAAAACGCTGCTTTCGTTGTTTGTTGTTCCTGTTTATACCGACGCTGCATGCGAGTCTGCAACGAAGTCCCCGGTTTATTTCAAAGCCAGGAAATGCTGCTTTGCTTCTCGTGACTGGCTTTAATTAGTGGAATTCCTGACTGAAATCCAAATGCTTTGTCAGTGCATAATTAGCTCTTAGGGTCTGATGGTGTCTAGCATATTAATTACAGGATTTTATTTCGCATATCTTGCAACAGTGGAAGGGTTATGAGGGCCGTGCGTTATCCCTTCGCCAAAATGAGGTCAGAATTTGCCTTGCACGGGTTCCTGTAATGAAGTAAGTCGGAAGATGATACGGATGATTTTGGCCCGAGATCCACACATTCAAAGAGAAGGACTATGTCTTTATTCTTTCGTTATTTTATTTGTTTCTTGTTATGGCTTGCTTCCTTTCATTATCTATTTCTATTTGCCCATCTTTTTTCATTTGTTGCGAACAAACTTTCTAACCCCCTTTCTCCCTCCCAAATCAGTTTTATTCCAGTCATGCACATATTTGCTTATTAAGTCCCCTCGGTATCTACGGTAGAATTGCAGCCAACGTTCAAGTAGATAAAATCTGAGTAAATAAAATCATCTTTACCTCCCCCCCCCCACCTCACCCCCCACTCCCACCCCCTCGCAGACCTCTCTTCTCAAGCCCTGTTGCCAATTAGGATTTAGTATTTCATGCTACTAGCCCTTCTATTTATCTATTTACCTTTTTGTCTCGTTCTCTTTTATGAATTTTGCTCTTTGTTCTATTTCTTTCCCATTGGTGTATTTGAAATTAACAGCAATCGTTTACGAATATAAATAAAAGTTTTTGTGTAACCGGCAATTAAAAACAGCTGTGTAATCAAGAGAGATTTATTGTGTCTGGACTGTGTGGAAAAACAGGTGAAATAAGTCTCTCTCTCTCTCTCTCTCTCTCTCTCCCTCTCTCTCTCTCTCTCTCTCTCTCTCTCTCTCTCTCTCTCTCTCTCTCTCTTCCACTCACTCACTCACTCACTCACTCACTCACTCACTTCACTCACTGCGGAGCTCACTCACAACAACTCACTTCACTCGGCACTCGACTTCACTCGAGCGTGCTATGCTCGTTCTCATCATTCACTACTTCCATCTCATCTTCTAGCGTATCTTTGACTTATTCTGTTACTCTCCTTCGCACTTCATCTCTTTCTTATCTCTCTCTCGTCTCCTTCTCTTCCACTCACTCCTCGCATCTCTTTCCTTTACCTCATCTCATCTCCCCACTCTCACTCTCACGTACTCTCTCTCACTCTGCATTACTCCTCCTCACCTCTTTCCTCTTTCCCACTCACCCTCACCTCCTCTCACTTCTTTCATTCTTCTCCTTTCTTCCTCTCCTCTCCTTCCCTCTCCTTCCCTTCTTCTTTCCTTCTCATCCCATCTTCCTCCCTCTTCTTCCCCCTCACTCTCTCTCTCTCCGTCCTTCCATCCTCTTAACTAGTACTCGTTTCTCCTCAGCCATCTCTCCAATGGCTCCTCATCTCTACATGTCTCGTACCGTCTACATAGGCTTTATTCTTACTACATCCGTCGTTCTCTACTCGACTGACGACAGTTACTCTGCTACATGGTCCAGTCATTTGAATGGAGGAGAATATGATTGTCGGATCGGAGTGTAACTTTACGAAAGAGGAGAGCTCTGTAGAAGAGATGAAAACATTTTCCGTCTTGAATGTAGTACGATAAGTGAAGACGGCTATTCTGAACTTTGGATACACAACAGTCTTGAGAAAAAGAGAAGAGAAAGGAGAAAAGAAAGGAAAGAAAGAAGATAAGAGAAAGGAGCAAGAGGAGCGTTCCTACCTGTTTGAGATCTGTGAGACCAAGAAGAGTCAATAGTGACCTCCAGAGCGGTACTTGCAGGGGTTCTCAGAGTCCTATACCGAGAAAAGGAGGGAGGACCGGAGAGAAATTAAAGGCAGTAGTGAGAATGTGTAACACAAGGGGATGTCAGTGCTAGTCTAGGTTTTTTAGTATCACTGTACGGACAGAGAAGAGAAAGAGGTTAGAGAGGATTGCGCCGGTGTACACGGACCGACATGTGTGAGTTGGTCCCTTCGAAGGGAGGGAGAGAGTTGGTGGCGGAGAGCGAGACGAAGTAGAAAATGTACAAATGAAGGAGAGGCTGCGGCGGTGAGGAGGGGATAGAGGGGGGCGAATATGGAGTGGGGAAAAAAATGGGGAAATCTGGGGGGAGGAGGAAGAAGGAAGGGGGGTGGGCGGGGGGCGGAGGGGGGGGGGTGAGAGGGTGGGTGGAAGGATTTTTACATACAAACACAAGAAGGAGTTGTGAGTTAGAGGAGAGAGGAGAGGTGGAGGCGGCAATTCATTTGAAAACGGAGAGCGGGCTGGTAGTGGCGAAGGGGAGCTTGCAGAGTGTATGATAGAGAGGGTGGGAAAAAAATATGGGTAGGATTTTGAGAGGCACGAGAGGCAGAGGGGCAGGGAGACGGAAGAGGGACCGACTTTTATGTGTGGGTGTAAAGGTTGTTTGGTATAATAGATGAGAGTGATTGAGGTAGGGCTGAGAGCGAGAGAGATTTAGAGGAGAGTTATAGGGAGAGCTAGAAGATATGAGAGATGATTGAGAAGGGAAGAAACGCGAGGGGAGAGATTTGTTTCTCTCGCAGTATCCTGAGATCTGTTGTCTGATTTAGCCATGACGACTAAATAGACCGGGACTTTAGTCAGGTGAGTCGGGAGAGAAGCGGGCGTCCGGAGGTCGGCAAGACTTGACGAGCCAGATGCCAGCGATAGCAAAAACTAACGGATATAATAACTGGGAGTAGTGGAGCGTTCCTGTAATTTACCGCGAAGCTTCTCTTCCATGATGCATGCTTTGAAGATCTAAAAGAACTTTGTGGAGTAGATATAGTGAGAATGAGTGAGTGTCTACCCTATTTTCGGCGCACTTTTTAGAAACAGAGATATAACAGCTTAGAAAGCGAGACAGATCGGGGGAACGAGGGATGGAGGAGGATTGAGAGAGGGAGAGGAGACGAGAGAGAGTTGGACCTAGTTACACCCCACAGAGCCATTGAAGTAAGAAAAAATGTAGAACACCGAACTTTTACTATCCAAGGAAAAGGAAAGAAAGAAGGTGTAGACATACTGTACATGGTAATAAAGGTAAGTAGACAAGGTATTAACGAAAAAAGAAAAGAGATACTCTCCTATGTAAGATCCTCGAAAAGAAGCACCTGGCTCAAATAAAGAAGATCACGAAAAATGAAGTATAAAGATTAACCGGAAAATGGACAGTGTTTGTAAAGCACGTGCCATTGCTGAGTCGAAAGGGGAGACGTGGAATACCATACACATCCAGTTCGATGAATTAAGAGAGAGGAAGGCAGGGAGATTCAACAAGGACGCAGCTAATAACGATAACATCGAGTGACTATTCAAGACCGATGAGAAAAGAAAGAAAAATGAAGAAAGGAAACGACGAAGGAAAAAGCTTACGAAGGAGAGAGGGGGACGGAGGAGGAGTGTGAGAGAGAGAAAGCGGTCTTGGCCGCGCTACTTGATTCATGGCTCGGTCGAGTGACGACTGGCAAGAGAGGAGGTGCCTTTCGTGAAGGAGAATCGCCCTTGATCGTCCACAGGAAAGCGCGCGACGTCTCAAAGCGTCGCTCGAGAGAACGCCAGGAAAGACTGTTATTGTTAGGAGTGATACTTCGCTGCACGGTCTGCGACGCACAAGAGCGGTGTGGATCAGCCCGGCTATGCGGGATCGCGAGGACGAGAGAGAAGATAACAGAGGAGAGACGCTGAGACGAGGGCGAGAGAGAGGCAGGGGCTTTCTTCCTTTTGGTCTCTCTCTCTCTCTCTCTCTCCTCGCTCTCTCTCTCTCTTCTCTGACTCTCTGAACTCTTCCTCCTCTTCTCTCTACGATGACTGACCTCTCTCTGGGAACTTCTTCCTGCTCTGGCTACCTCTTTCTCTCTGCGTACCTCCCTCTCGTCGTACAAATCTCATCGATCGTCTCCTCTACTCTCCTCTCTTCCTCTCTCATCAGACTCTCTCTCTGCTACTCTCTCGCTAAACCTTTCTTCTTTACTTTACTTCTTTCTCTTCTCTTTCTTCTTTTCTTTCTATTCTATTCTTTCTTTCTTTCTTTCTTTCTTTCTTTCTTTCTTCTTTCTTTCTCTTTTCTCTCCTCTCTTCTCCTCTCTCTCTCTCTCTCTCTCTCTCTCTCTCTCTCTCTCTCCTCTCTCTCTCTCTCCTCTCTCTCTCTCTCTCTCTCTCCCTCTCCCTCTCTCTTTCTCTCTCTCTCTCTCTCTCTCTCTCTCTCTCTCTCTCTCTTCTCTCTCTCTCTCTCTCTCTCTCTCTCTCTCTCTCTCTCTCTCTCTCTCCTCTCTCCCTCTCCTCTCTCTTCTCTCTCTCTCTTCTCTCTCTCTCTCTCTCTTCTTCTCTTTCTCTCTCTCTCTCTCTCTCTCTCTCTCTCTCTCTCTCTCTCTCTCTCTCTCTCTCTCTCTTCGTGACCTTATACTTTTGACTCAGACATGTTATGCTTGGGTGCTGGGGATAACGAGTGTTTTGATGGAGGCAGAAGAGGAGTGAGGGAGAGGGAGTGTGAGAGAGGGAGGTAGGAGAGAGAGAAAGAGAGGAGAGGAGAGAGAGGAGTACATGTGAGTGAGTGAGAGAGAAAGAGAGAGGGAATGAGGAAGACGAGTAAAAAAGGAAGGATAGAAAAATATCAGACTAACTAGTACAAAAAAGAAGAGCAACATAGACGCAATATTTTCAACCCAAAAATGTTTCCTCGAAGCGATCTTCAAAACCGTAGCAAAAAAGATAAAACTAGCATGGAAGTAAGATCAGAATCAGATCCCGCCAAAATGCGCGAGAGCAACCGCACCGACAGAAGCAAGCATTAACGGAATTCCCCGTCGCTGCAAACGCAAAATACAAGCCTCGTTTTCTCATCAGTGTCGAGCAGTGTGCCGTTGCAGTCCATCGATGGTGTCCCGGGCGCCGTTGCAAGGCTGACCAGTGGAGCATTAGGCCAGCGAACACTCCCCCCCTCCCCCTATGGGCCATATATAGGTCGTCGCGGCTTAGTGGTCGTGGAGGCCGTGTTCCCTTTACGGCGACGAGCGGGTGACTGAAGTTTTCGCGCCGAGCTCGTCTGGGTCGGAGTCGTGCTGCTCGGTTGGTCCGGCGCGAAGCTGTCTGCTTTGGCGCTCCTTTGTTTGCCGAGGGCGCGGTCTGGATTTAAGGGGCAATTTTAAAGCTACCGGGGGATAAAGCCAAAACCTCATGTAGCATCCCTGAGCACTCTCAAAAAAGTGTATAAGTAAACAGAGCAGTGAACCACCTGAATGTGTCTCCTGAAAGAATACACACAAAAATACAACGACCGTCAACCCGCACAAAAAAGACACACACAAAAAAGCAAGAATTAAAACAGCTGTTCCCTCGCCAGACGAGAAAAGCAACAAACAAACGAGCGGAGGGGGGCGGGGCGGGCGGAAGGAGCTGGCAGCTTTAAGGCGACGGCCGCCCCGGGATTCGAGTCTCGCCGCGCTTAAAACGGCAGGACCGAGTGCCGCGGCAGCTGTTTCGGGCCGCCTCCGTTGCCGTGGTGGCTTGGGGGGGGGGGGGACTTGCTGAATGGCCATTATTAACGCTTGTGAATGGGGCGTCATGATGTCCTTGCCCCCCCCCCACAGCACCACCAAAAGAAACATTATATAGTATTGATGAACGTCATTTATATATAAAACTAACTTGTTTTTCATTGATTGATTTTTATATAGGATCAAACGGTACCCAGTAGTTCTTAAAAACGATCTCTCTTTCCTTTTTATTGTGCATATGATAGCACTGCTCCCATTTTTTTTTTTTTTTTTTTTTTTTTTTTTACCTGCACAAATACTATAGCTATTCACATACCCTTAATAAATACCCTATCTTTCCCTACTGGATGACTGGGTATGAAAACAACTGCAACCAATATATACGTATTAAAGTGCATTCTCTCCTGCAGGGTTCCTCTCTTGGGATGAAGAGAAAGCACACGTGGACATCCACAAGGAACTCACAACTATTGCCGAACTTAACCTCGAAGGAGAAGAACAGAAGGGAGGTGAGTGTCTTGGAACTATGTTCTGTTGACCAAGAAACAATAGTTGTTATTAGGCTGTTTGTATCCCTTGATATTTGTTTATTTACAAGAAGTGTTGGTATCCACAGCGTGTCTGGATTATTGTTTTTTTCATATTGTGTCATTTTCATACATTAATATAAGCACGGTTATTACTCTTTGGCTGAAAACGTTGATTCTAAACTCGTTACTTGTTTTTTTTCAGGAGAAAGGTTGATCCAGTATGCCACGGAGAATCTGGTCGCAGAGGTGTTGATCCACCCCCAAGTCAACACCCTGCAGCAGTGCCTCAAGAACCTCCTCTCTTCATTCACCAAACATAGACACATCATCCATGCCGGATATGCCTTCGCTGGCTCAGGATCATGGATGCTACAGGTAATTACTACCACCATCCTCGTGCGCACGCGCGCGCACATATGAACATGTATAGACAAACATGCACAACACGCACGCGCACACACACGCACACGCACACATGCACGCACACACACACACACACACACACACACACACACACACACACACACACACACACACACACACACACACACACACACACACACACACACACACACACACACACACACCAGGCCCGCGCGTGCGCTACTTCCATTAATTGACGGAGAGCAATTGTATCACTATAAAAGAAAATAATAATGATTTTCTTTATGTCAGTGAGAGATTAGTTGTTTTGCAAAAGGTCACATACCAACAGCCCTAAATTATCAGGTAAGTTGTCCTCATCTTAAAACGAGATTTTTTTCTTTTTATCATACAATACAATCAATGAATTGTGAAAAGTTAACTACCAACCATTATAGATTATTTTCCTACCAGAAGAATACTATAGTAGGTGTATCATCTATATGAATTGTTAAGTTAAATATTTGAAACTTGTTTTTAAACATATGGATAGACAGAAAAGATCATAATTTGTATATAACATTACTATTTTGATGTAACACTTTTGATTGCTTTTCATATCCCAAATTTGTCCATTTCAACATATGGAAAGGCAGAAAAAAATAATTACTTCGCTCTAACCTTATGTTCCCAAAGTGCAAAAGGGTGGTCTAGGATGAGTATTCACACACTGCGAACTCTTGCAGGACGGGACTTTCTCGGTGGCTGACCTTATTGCCGCCTTCAGTGAGTATGAAGTCCAACGAGTCCTTCATGCCTACGAGAACTGCATCACCATTGACATTCACTGCGCCCCAGAAGGTCATTGGTCGACCAGCTACCTTGCCAAGGAATCTTTTAGGTACAGTGAGAGCTGTTGCTTTTTTCTCTTCACTATTGATGAAATGAATGTTTAATTATAAATAGAGGAAAAAAAACATTACCCAAGTCCAGAGATTGTGGTCTTGTCAAGTAATTTTTGTCTGGAAAACTAATATTTATGATCTGTTGGGCTGATCTGAATGAGAATATTTTTTCGTGTTGTTCACAATAATAATAGTCTTGGCTAGATATCCAATACATTATAAGAAAACATGCAAGGTCTGCCGTTAACACAAGCAACTTCTCTCCAGCAAACTATGCCGAGTGACAGTCAACCCAGACGACAAGATCGAGACCACCCCCGGGATCTCGACTTTCGTCCAGTACCTGTCACAGTTCCTTCTCTCCACACCAATCGAGGAGCTCCTCGAACCATCAGACATTGTGGGAAACATTCGGTTCTCTCGTCCCACTCTGTACGTGTTCCCTGGTGGACAAGGTGACTCAGCTCTCTTCGGTGTCAATGGCTTCAACATGCTCGTGGACGGTGGTTATAATTACAAAGCCTGTTTCTGGGATTTCACAAGGCATCTGGACCGCCTGGATGCCGTCCTTGTCACAAGACTCAACAGCTCGAATCTTATGGGTATTACTAATGTTGTTCGTAGAAAAGCTCTTAGTTCAGTGTATCCACAGATTGGACATATTTTCTGTAATGTTGCTGGTAATATCAAATCTCCCGATGGTGACAAAGACAGAGACCCACTGCTTATTAATCTCTGGGATGAAGGACACATTATGCGTGAAAATCTCAGACAAATTAGTTTGAAACCTCATTTGTGTTTCCGTGATAATGCAATGGAACCAATTAATTTGTATCACAAAGTAGGACATGGCAAATTAGACATGTATGTGATAAATCCCTCTAGAGACAGTAAGGAAGTTCGAGAGTTCATGCAGAGGTGGAACAATGAAGTGATCGCATCTGACATGGGTTTAAGTACCTACAAAATCGGTGAAAAAGTCTTTCCTTGTCCACTCACAAATGTTACCTCCATATGTGCCCTCCTTATATGGCAACCTAATGACCCCACAGACACAATTACCAGAATTCTCTTCCCCGGAAGTACACCACAACACAAGATCTTTGAAGGCTTAGAAAGATTAAAGAACCTAGAGTATCTGAAACACACAACTTGTTCAGCGAAGTCCATCAAGGCCGCCATTGAAGAGCGGAAAGGTATCAAAACTGAGGAAAGAATTAAGAGTGAAGACAAATTATTAGCAGCAGACATTAAACCTAGCAAAGCAGTCAGTCCATCCCCTCCCACACACCGAATCAAGAGAGAAAGAGGAGACCGCTCCATCAGCAGGGAAGAAAGGAGAAGAATCAAGCTGGAAAGATCTGAGCGACAAGAGAAGGTGTTGCGCGAAGCCAGAAAGGAGAAGAAAGTGGAAAGAAAGATTGAGAAGAAGATTATCAAGAAAGAAGAACGGAAGGAAAAGAAGGAGGAGAAGAAGGAAGAAAAGGCCGCAACCGAACTAGAAGAAACGAAAGAGAAGACCGAAGGTATCACCATCGAGTCTTTAGCAGCGATAGACGAGGCTAAGGTCAGCGAAGCCAAAGTAACGACAAAAGAAATCACCGAAACTGTTACAGGTGTTTCTGTAACCAAAGAAGCAATTAGTGCAGTTACCGATTCGATAGAAACAGTCACGAAGAAGGACCTGGTTGATGCAGCTGAACGAAGAGAAATCACGACGCAAGCTGTAGAAGTCACAACTGCTGTAACCGACTTGAAGTCTAGAATAGAAACCACAGGAATTAGTGAAATCAAAGATATACATGAAATAGAACCTTTAGATGTTAAGGAAGCCTCTCTCGTCTCAGCGGAGTCTGGTGTGGTGACAGGCGAAGAGAGAGAATCCTCTTTAGAAATTGAAACCTTAAAAGAAATAAAACCAAAAGAAAAACCAAAGGAAAAGAAAATCAAGGAAACTGGGACCCCTGAGAAACCCAAACGGTATCGCAAACCCAAAGTTGAATCTCGCATTGACACAGGAGACAGAAGACCAAGACCCGAAGACAGGGCAGCACGAGTAGAGAGGAAGGTAAAGGAGAGAAAGAGTCTGGAAAGAAAAGAAAGAAAAGAACGCAAAACAGACGAAGAAAAGCAGGAGGAAGGAGAAGCAGCAGAGAAGAAACCAGAGAGAAGAATAAGAAAGATTAAAAGACCTGAGCACAAAGTTGAAGATGCAACCACTCCCAAAAAACCCTCTACACCAGAGCTAAAGAAACGCCCAAGAAAATTAATACCAACCGAAAAGAAGGAGGTCAATGGAGAAGTAAAGCAGGTTAAACCATCAGTTCCTAGAGTACCAAGAGAAAGAAAGGTAATTTCGAAAACTACAACTACAACTGCACGAGAAATTACGCACAAGAAACTAGTAGATGACAAAAACAGAGCGGCAAAGGCAGCCGAGGCTGCAAGAAAAGAACTGAAGCCATCACCCAAGCCAACGACAGCACCACGAACTGTTGCAAGAAAAGCTCCTCCTGTTGGAAAAGCACCGAAGGCGAAGAAGATCGAAAAGCCCCCTGCACCGAAAACCGAGGGACCAATTAAGAGAGTTATTACAGGTGCAGCTGTGAAGGCTGGTGTAGTAGCAGCAGCCGTCTCGGGCGTTGCTGTCGTAGAAGCAGCAGCAGACCGAGAGGACGTGGATGAAATTGTGGCGCCCATGAAAGAGACTGATAACCTCATGATTGCCCCTGACCAAGATGAAGAGGATCGAATCTCCGATATTGCCAATATTCCTGGAGTACAAGAGATCAAATTAGATGAAGACACTCTACAGATTATTGACAAGCAACAGCTAGAGGAAGAAGAAAAAGACTCCTTGATACTTCATGAGGAAGGTGTTGTTGAACATGTTGAAAAGGAAGACATAATCGAAGAAGTTGAAGAGCATGTAGAAGAAGAGGCAGAGAAAGAAATTGAGGAAATAGAAGAGGAAGAAGAAGAGGAGGAGGAGGAGGAAGAAGAAGAGGAAGAAGAGGAGGAGGAGGAGGAAGAAGAGGAAGAGGAAGTCGAAGAAAGAGAGGCTGCAGTAGAAGAAAAAGAAGTAGGAGAGAGAATACGAGAAAAAGAAGTAGGTGAGGAAGAGGAGGAAGGTCCGGAGGATGAAGAGAAAGTAAGCATCACAGAAAAAGAGGATGAAGCAGAGAAAGAAAAGAAAGAAGACAAGATAGCAGAAGAGGCGAAAGAAATAGAAGATATTGCCAAATTAGACGAGAAACACGAAGCTGAAGATATCTATGAAAAGATTGAGACTGAAGACCGAGATGTCTATGCAACTCTACCAAGCAGTGCAAAGCTCACCGAATACAAAGAGAAATACGAAGAAAAACCAATCCGTGGTCTGTTTACTGGTTTTGCCATGCCTTCCGCTGAACCACAAGAAGCACCGCAGAAAGCACCGAGTCCAAAGCCCAAAGAAGAAGTCACTGTACCAACTTCCCTTCCAGAGGCAATATTCAAACCAACTGCGCCACCTGTTCATCCACGTGAGATCATAAAAACACCAGATGAAGTGGACGATCTACCCATACATGAGGAAGTCGAATCCATTGAGCATGATATTTACGAAGAAGATATCGAGATGGAGAAACCAGCTGAACAAGAACTTGAAGCAGGTTCCCCACTCCTTGAAGTAAAGGGAGAGTTACAAATTAAAGAAGAAGTAATTGCTGAAAAGCACGAAAGAGAAATAATCAAAGAAAAGAAACTACCCGAAAAAGAATTTGAAGTGGAAGAAGAAGATGAAATCTCAAGAGAAGAAAAGGTCTCAAAATCTATCGAAGACTTTGAAGCAAAATACGCAGAGTTTAAGGCGACTGCTGTCTCTGAAGTCATCCAGAGAGGAGAAGTCATTGCTGAAACAAAAGAAATAAAGAAGAAAGTGGACAAAGTAGAATTACTGAAGGACATTGCACAGACCCTAGAAGAAAGAGACGAAAAGACTGTGATTAAAGAAAAGGTATCTTCGCCGGAGGTTTCCGAAGAAATCGAGATGCCTGTCGTCAAAGACAAAAAGCCTGTCAAAGCAGTGACACCATATGAGGAACTTGACTTTGACAAAATCCCAGAAAAGGAAAGAAGAGTGGAAGACGAAAAGGATATCGATGAACTTGAATTTGAGAGTAAAGAAATCTTGGAAGTAAAGGAGAAGGAAATTACCGAAATGATGGAAAAGGATGAAGTGAGAAAGCGAGTGGAGAAAGAGGAAATCATTACTACCGATGAAGCCATAACTGAACTTGATAAGAAAGAAGCTTACAGAGCTAAGACACTGCTTACCGAAGAACTCCTGGAAAAGGAGTTTGTAACAGAAGATATTCTAAAGAAGGGCAAACCTGTTTCAGAAGAAATCCTTGAAGCAAAGAAGGTTTCCCCTGAAGACACACTTTTGAAAGAAAAAGTGATCACGGAAGAAATACAAGAAGAAAAGGAAAAAACCAAAAAGGAAGAAGTGAAAATGGAGGAGATTGTAGCTAAAGACAAACTAGAAGAGAAGATCACGACAGAAGTAACTAAGAAGGAGGAGGTAGTAGCTAAAGACAAATTAGAAGAAATCACGAAAGAGGAAGAAGTAACTAAGAAGGAGGAAGTAGTAACTAAAGACGAACTTGAAGAGAAGATCACGAAAGAGGAAGAAATTAAGAAGGAGGAAGTAGTAACTAAAGACAAACTTGAAGAGAAGATCACGAAAGAGGAAGAAATTAAGGAGGAAGTAGTAACTAAAGACAAACTTGAAGAGAAGATCACGAAAGAGGAAGAAATTAAGAAGGAGGAAGTAGTAACTAAAGACAAACTTGAAGAGAAGATCACGAAAGAGGAAGAATTAAGAAGGAGGTAACTAAAGACAAACTTGAAGAGAAGATCACAAAAGAGGAAGAAATTAAGGAGGAAGTAGTAACCAAAGAAAAATTAGAAGAGAAAGTCACAAAAGAGGAAGAAATTAAGAAGGAGGAAGTAGTAACTAAAGACAAACTTGAAGAGAAGATCACGAAAGAGGAAGAAATTAAGAAGGAGGAAGTAGTAACTAAAGACAAACTTGAAGAGAAGATCACGAAAGAGGAAGAAATTAAGAAGGAGGAAGTAGTAACTAAAGACAAATTGGAAGAGAAGATCACGAAAGAGGAAGAAATTAAGAAGGAGGAAGTTGTAACTAAAGACAAACTTCAAGAGGAGATCACGAAAGAGGAAGAAATTAAGGAGGAAGTAGTAACCAAAGAAAAATTAGAAGAGGAAGAAATTAAGAAGGAGGAAGTAGTGACTAAAGACAAACTTGAAGAGAAGATCACGAAAGAGGAAGAAATTAAGAAGGAGGAAGTAGTAACCAAAGAAAAAATAGAAAAGTCACAAAAGAGGAAGAAATTAAGAAGGAGGAATTAGTAACTAAAGACAAATTTGAAGAGAAGATCACAAAAGAGGAAGAAATTAAGAAGGAGGAAGTAGTAACTAAAGACAAATTGGAAGAGAAGATCACGAAAGAGGAAGAAATTAAGAAGGAGGAAGTAGTAACTAAAGACAAGATGAAATGGAGGAGGAAGTAGTAACTAAAGACAAATTGGAAGAGAAGGTGACGAAAGAGGAAGTAACTGAAGAGATCTCGATTCGCGATATCGTCTCGAAGGAGGACATTGAAACAATTGTAAAGGAAGAAAAGATAACCGAGGAAAAAATCACGAAAGAAGACGCAAAGGAAGAGAAAGAAGTGGAAGAAATTACAAAAGAAGACATCCTTAAGAAGGGCATCACAGAACAAGAGGAAGTAGTAACTAAAGACAAACTTGAAGAGAAGATCACGAAAGAGGAAGAAATTAAGAAGGAGGAAGTAGTAACTAAAGACAAATTAGAAGAGAAAGTCACGAAAGAGGAAGAGGAAGTAACTAAGGAGGAAATAGTAACTAAAGACAAACTAGAAGAGGTCACGAAAGAGGATGTAACCAAGAAAGAGGAGGTAGTAACCAAAGACAAATTAGAAGAAGTCACAAAGGAGGAAGAAATTAAGAAGGAGGAAGTAGTAACCAAAGACAAACTTGAAGAGAAGATCACGAAAGAGGAAGAGGAAATTACTAAGAAGGAGGAGGTAATAATTAAAGACAAATTAGAAGAGAAGATCACGAAAGAGGAAGAAATTAAGAAGGAGGAGGTAATAACCAAAGACAAATTAGAAGTCACAAAAGAGGAAGAAATTAAGAAGGAGGAAGTAGTAACCAAAGACAAACTTGAAGAGAAGATCACGAAAGAGGAAGAAATTAAGAAGGAGGAAGTAGTAACCAAAGAAAAATTAGAAGAGAAAGTCATGAAAGAGGAGGAAGTAGTAACTAAAGACAAATTAGAAGAGAAGATAACGAAAGAGGAAGAAATTAAGAAGGAGGAGGTAGTAACTAAAGACAAATTAGAAGAGAAGATCACGAAAGAAGAAGAAATTAAGGAGGAGGAAGTAGTAACCAAAGACAAATTAGAAGAGAAAGTCACAAAAGAGGAAGAAATTAAGAAGGAGGAGGTAGTAACTAAAGACAAATTAGAAGAGAAGATCACGAAAGAAGAAGAAATTAAGGAGGAAGTAGTAACTAAAGACAAACTTGAAGATATCACGAAAGAGGAAGAAATTAAGAAGGAGGAAGTAGTAACAAAGAAATTAGAAGAGAAGATCACGAAAGAAGAAGAAATTAAGGAAGGAAGTAGTAACTAAAGACAAAGAAGATATCACGAAAGAGAAGAAGAAATTAAGAAGGAGGAAGTAGTAACTAAAGACAACAGAAGAGAAGATCACAGAAGAAGAAATTAAGGAGGAGGAAGTAGTAACCAAAGACAAATTAGAAGAGAAAGTCACAAAAGAGGAAGAAATTAAGAAGGAGGAGTAGTAACTAAAGAAAAAGAAGATCACGAAAGAGGAAGAAATGAAGGAGGAGGAAGTAGTAACTAAAGACAAATTGGAAGAGAAGGTGACGAAAGAGGAAGTAACTGAAGAGGTCTCGATTCGCGATATCGTCTCGAAGGAGGACATTGAAACAATTGTAAAGGAAGAAAAGATAACCGAGGAAAAAATCACGAAAGAAGTCACAAAGGAAGAGAAAGAAGTGGAAGAAATTGCGAAAGAAGACATCCTTAAGAAGGGCATCACAGAACAAGAGAAATTAAAAGAAACTGCCGAAGCGAAACTCGCGAAGGAAGAAATCGTAAAGAAAGACTCAATACAAGAGATTCTAGAAGAAGTAAAGATCACAAAAGAACTTGCAATGAAGGATTTGGAAGAACAAAAGATCACAAAGGAAGAAGTTGAAGAAATTATCACCAAAGAAGAAGTTTCTAAGAAAGCATTTGAAGAAGTTCCAAAGAAGGATGTTGGCGAAAAGATCACAAAGGAAGAAGTTTCTAAGAAAGAAGCTGAAGAAATTATCACAAAGGAAGAAGTAGAAAAGATCACAAAGGAAGAAGTAGAAAAGATCACAAAGGAAGAAGTTGAAGAAAAGATCACAAAGGAAGAAGTTGAAGAAAAGATCACAAAGGAAGAAGTTGAAGAAAAGATCACAAAGGAAGAAGTTGAAGAAAAGATCACAAAGGAAGAAGTCACTAAGAAAGAAGTTGAAGAAAAGATCACAAAGGAAGAAGTTCCCAAGAAAGAAGTTGAAGAAAAGATCACAAAGGAAGAAGGAAGAAGTTTGAAGCCCAAGAAAGAAAAAGAAAAGAAAAAAAAAGAACAAAGAAAAAGAAAGAAGTGAAGAAAAGAAAAAAAAGAAGAAGGAAAAAAGAATTAAAGGAAGAAATTGAAGAAAAGATCATAAAGGAAGAAATTAAAGAAGAAAAGATCACAAAGGAGGAAGTTCTGATGAAAGAAATGGAAGAAGAAAAAATCACGAAGGCCACCGAAGGGGAAATAGTTTCTGAGGAAGTCTTCAAAGAAATCCTAAAGAAGGAAGAAAAGGTAGTTACAGAATCCGTAGAAGAAGAGATTACAAAGGAGGAAATTTCCGTCTCAACGACAGTGGAAGAGGAGATGAAGTTATCAAAGAAGGAAGTTGTCGAGGAAGACAAGATTTCAAAGAAGGAAATCGTGGAAGAAGAGAAGATTTCAAAGGAAGAAATATCCATAAAGGAAGTTGTTGAAGAAGAGAGGATTTCAAAGGAGGTTACAGAGGAAGAGAAAATCTCTAAGGTCGAAATTACCGAAGAAAAAGCTACAACAGAAGACATATTATGGGCGCAAGAAAAAATAGACTTTGCAAAAGAAAAGGTAATATCTGAGGAAGAAATTGTGAAAGGCATAACAAAAGAAGAAATAGCTAAACAAGAGAAGTTGACGAAAGAAGAAAAGGAAGTGCAAGAAACTGTGAAAGCAACGACCACAAAGGAAGAAATATCAAAGACGGAGAGTATAGAAGAAATAGTTACCAAAGAAGAAGTGACAAAAGCAGTAACTGTAACTGAGATGGTGTCAAAGGAAGGAATTCCAAAAGAAACAGTAGAAGAAAAGTTGATAACGGACGAATTCACGAAAGAAATTCTTAAGAAGGAAGGAAAGATTGAGAAGGAGGATATTGTAGAGGTAACTTCAAAGGAAGACATTTCAGTGAAAATGACTGTGGACGAAGAAAAGATCACGAAAGAAGAAAAGGAGCTTCTCTCAAAAGAGGAAGTGGCCAAGGAGGACACTGCCAAGGAAAAGGGTCTTGACATTAAGGTTAAAGAATTTCCCAAAACGGAAGAGGGGAAACCACTGATAAAGGAAGAGAAGCCCTCAAAGGAAGAAATGCCGGAAAAAGACATTGCCTTGGATGAGAAAGTGTCAAAAGAAGATATTCTAAAGAAAGATACAGAAAGGAAAGAAATTACAGAGCAAATCTTTAAGAAGGAAGAAATGTTTGATGTCACTAAGGAAGTAAAGGTTGCTAAAGAGGAGGTAACTGAAGCGGTTACTGAAGACGTAATTGTTGTTAAAGGAGAAATTGCAAAGGCAACAGAAAAAACTGTAACCGACTTTACCACAGTGACAAGTGAAGAAGAGGAGGGAACGCGAGGTGTGAAGCGAGACCATTCCCCATCAGAAAGTGTTGAGAGTAGCATTAGTAGTGACATCAGTGGTAAGCCTCCCCCTAGTGATGATGCTTTACAAATTGAAGAACAGATTATTAGTGACAAAGTGAGTGAGAAAGGCATAAAATCTGAATCAGACACAACTGAAAAATCAGATATTTTAGCGCCTGTGTCCCCTACAAGTGATGTATCCGTTAGTGCCAAGAGCGACATTCTTTCTAAAGACGTTTTAGGAAAAGACATTCCAAAAGATATTTCAGAAGAATACAAAGAAAAAGCTCCCATATCCCCAACGAGTGACGTATCAATCAGCACAAAGAGTGACGCCTTCAAAGAAGAATATATGGAAAAGGTAACAAAGATAAGTGACACTTCAAGCGTAAAGAGTGACATAAGTGACAGGGAAATTACAGAACTAAAAGTTTCAGTTGATGTCACTAAAAAGCCAACTGACGAATCCCTAGCATCGTTGTCACCAAAGAGTGACATCTCAGTCAGTGCAAAGAGCGATACTAGTGCTAAAGTTCCTGAAGAATCAACCACCGCCGAAATAGATGGTAAAGATGAAGCCCCGGAATCACCCAGGAGTGACATTTCAGTCAGTGTCAAGGATGAAATAGCAATGGATATGGAAAAAGTAAGCGAAAAGAGGAAAAGCATTACAAAAGATCTCGAAGCTCCAGAAACAGCAAAGGAGCCTACTGCACCGGCAGAAAAAGCCACTGAAAAAGTTCCTATTTCTCCCACAAGTGATCTTTCAGTCAGTGTAGCTAGTGATATTAGTGCCAGAGAACTTATGAGCGACTTAACCTCTAAAAAAGAGGACACTATGAAAATAGACGTGACCAGCAAACCTACTGTTGAACCTTCAATTTCCCCGGTAAGTGACATCTCTGTTAGTGGTAAGAGTGATGTTAGTTCTAAGAAGGAAGACATATATTTAGATGTGTCAAAGAAACCAACAGAAGAGGCACCTATTTCTCCCAAGAGTGACATCTCTGTTAGTGCTAAGAGTGATGTTAGTTCTAAGAAGGAAGACATATTTGGTGTCGATGTATCAAAGAAACCAACAGAAGAGGCACCTATTTCTCCCAAGAGTGACATTTCTGTTAGTGCTAAGAGTGATGTAAGTTCTAAGAAGGAAGATATATTTGGTGTTGATGTGTCAAAGAAACCAACAGAAGAGGCACCTATTTCTCCCAAGAGTGACATTTCTGTTAGTGCTAAGAGTGATGTAAGTTCCAAGAAGGAAGACATATTTGGCTTTGATGTGTCTAAGAAACCAACAGAAGAGGCACCTATTTCTCCCAAGAGTGACATCAGTATTAGTGCTAAGAGTGATGTTAGTTCTAAGAAGGAAGACATATTTGGTGTCGATGTATCAAAGAAACCAACAGAAGAGGCACCTATTTCTCCCAAGAGTGACATCAGTATTAGTGCTAAGAGTGATGTTAGTTCTAAGAAGGAAGACATATTTGGTGTCGATGTATCTAAGAAACCAACAGAAGAGGCACCTATTTCTCCCAAGAGTGACATTTCTGTTAGTGCTAAGAGTGATGTAAGTTCCAAGAAGGAAGACATATTTGGCTTTGATGTGTCTAAGAAACCAACAGAAGAGGCACCTATTTCTCCCAAGAGTGACATTTCTGTTAGTGCTAAGAGTGATGTTAGTTCCAAGAAGGAAGACATATTTGGTATTGATGTGTCAAAGAAACCAACAGAAGAGGCACCTCTTTCTCCCAAGAGTGACATCTCTGTTAGTGCTAAGAGTGATGTTAGTTCCAAGAAGGAAGACATATTTGGTGTCGATGTATCAAAGAAACCAACAGAAGAGGCACCTATTTCTCCCAAGAGTGACATCTCTGTTAGTGCTAAGAGTGATGTTAGTTCCAAGAAGGAAGACATATTTGGTGTCGATGTATCAAAGAAACCAACAGAAGAGGCACCTATTTCTCCCAAGAGTGACATCTCTGTTAGTGCTAAGAGTGATGTTAGTTCTAAGAAGGAAGACATATTTGGTGTCGATGTATCAAAGAAACCAACAGAAGAGGCACCTATTTCTCCCAAGAGTGACCTCTGTTAGTGCTAAGAGTGATGTTAGTTCTAAGAAGGAAGACATATTTGGTATTGATGTGTCTAAGAAACCAACAGAAGAGGCACCTATTTCTCCCAAGAGTGACATCTCTGTTAGTGCTAAGAGTGATGTTAGTTCTAAGAAGGAAGACATATTTGGTATTGATGTATCAAAGAAACCAACAGAAGAGGCACCTATTTCTCCCAAGAGTGACATCTGTTAGTGCTAAGAGTGATGTTAGTTCTAAGAAGGAAGACATATTTGGTTCGATGTATCAAAGAAACCAACAGAAGAGGCACCTATTTCTCCCAAGAGTGACATCTCTGTTAGTGCTAAGAGTGATGTTAGTTCTAAGAAGGAAGACATATTTGGTGTTGATGTGTCTAAGAAACCAACAGAAGAGGCACCTATTTCTCCCAAGAGTGACATCTCTGTTAGTGCTAAGAGTGATGTAAGTTCTAAGAAGGAAGACATATTTTGGTGATGTATCAAAGAAACCAACAGAAGAGGCACCTATTTCTCCCAAGAGTGACATCTCTGTTAGTGCTAAGAGTGATGTTAGTTCTAAGAAGGAAGACATATTTTGGTATTGATGTCAAAGAAACCAACAGAAGAGGCACTATTTCTCCAAGAGTGACATCTCTGTTAGTGCTAAGAGTGATGTTAGTTCTAAGAAGGAAGACATATTTGTGTTTGATGTGTCAAAGAAACCAACAGAAGAGGCACCTCTTTTCCAAGAGTGACATCTCTGTTAGTGCTAAGAGTGATGTTAGTTCCAAGAAGGAAGACATATTTGGTGTCGATGTATCAAAGAAACCAACAGAAGAGGCACCTATTTCTCCCAAGAGTGACATCTGTTAGTGCTAAGAGTGATGTTAGTTCTAAGAAGGAAGACATATTTGGTGTTGATGTATCAAAGAAACCAACAGAAGAGGCACCTATTTCTCCCAAGAGTGACATCTCTGTTAGTGCTAAGAGTGATGTTAGTTCTAAGAAGGAAGACATATTTGGTATTGATGTATCAAAGAAACCAACAGAAGAGGCACCTATTTCTCCCAAGAGTGACATCAGTGTTAGTGCTAAGAGTGATGTTAGTTCTAAGAAGGAAGACATATTTGGTGTCGATGTATCAAAGAAACCAACAGAAGAGGCACCTATTTCTCCCAAGAGTGACATCTCTGTTAGTGCTAAGAGTGATGTTAGTTCTAAGAAGGAAGACATATTTGGTGTTGATGTGTCAAAGAAACCAACAGAAGAGGCACCTATTTCTCCCAAGAGTGACATCTCTGTTAGTGCTAAGAGTGATGTTAGTTCTAAGAAGGAAGACATATTTGGTATTGATGTGTCAAGAAACCAACAGAAGAGGCACCTATTTCTCCCAAGAGTGACATCTCTGTTAGTGCTAAGAGTGATGTTAGTTCTAAGAAGGAAGACATATTTGGTATTGATGTGTCAAAGAAACCAACAGAAGAGGCACCTATTTCTCCCAAGAGTGACATCAGTATTAGTGCTAAGAGTGATGTTAGTTCTAAGAAGGAAGACATATTTGGTATTGATGTATCAAAGAAACCAACAGAAGAGGCACCTATTTCTCCCAAGAGTGACATCTCTGTTAGTGCTAAGAGTGATGTAGTTCTAAGAAGGAAGACATATTTGGTTTGATGTGTCAAAGAAACCAACAGAAGAGGCACCTATTTCTCCCAAGAGTGACATCTGTTAGTGCTAAGAGTGATGTTAGTTTCTAAGAAGGAAGACATATTTGGTATTGATGTATCAAAGAAACCAACAGAAGAGGCACCTATTTCTCCCAAGAGTGACATCTCTGTTAGTGCTAAGAGTGATGTTAGTTCAAGAGGAAGACATATTTGGTGTGATGTATCAAGAAACCAACAGAAGAGGCACCTATTTCTCCAAGAGTGACATCTCTGTTAGTGCTAAGAGTGATGTTAGTTCTAAGAAGGAAGACATATTTGGTTTGATGTGTCAAAGAAACCAACAGAAGAGGCACCTATTTCTCCAAGAGTGACATCTCTGTTAGTGCTAAGAGTGATGTTAGTTCTAAGAAGGAAGACATATTTGGTGTGATGTGTCAAAGAAACCAACAGAAGAGGCACCTATTTTCTCCAAGAGTGACATCTCTGTTAGTGCTAAGAGTGATGTTAGTTCTAAGAAGGAAGACATATTTGGTGTTGATGTATCAAAGAAACCAACAGAAGAGGCACCTATTTCTCCCAAGAGTGACATCTCTGTTAGTGCTAAGAGTGATGTAAGTTCTAAGAAGGAAGACATATTTGGTATTGATGTATCAAAGAAACCAACAGAAGAGGCACCTTTTCCCAAGAGTGACATCTCTGTTAGTGCTAAGAGTGATGTTAGTTCTAAGAAGGAAGACATATTTGGTATTGATGTATCAAAGAACCAACAGAAGAGGCACCTATTTCTCCCAAGAGTGACATCTCTTAGTGCTAAGAGTTGTTAGTTCCAAGAAGGAAGACATATTTGGTGTTGATGTATCAAAGAAACCAACAGAAAGAGGCACCTATTTCTCCCAAGAGTGACATCTCTGTTAGTGCTAAGAGATGATGCTTAAGATGAAGAACATATTTGGTATTGATGTTCTAAGAAACCAACAGAGAGGGCACCTATTTCTCCGCAAGTAGGATGACCTCTTGTTTATGTGTTGTTAAGGAGTGAGTGAGTTTCTAAGATTAGGAAGACATAGATTTTGGTGTCGATGTATCAAAGATACCATAGCAGAAGAGGCACCGTTTATTTCTCCGCAAGAGTGACATCTCTTTAGTGCTAAGAGTGATGTTAGTTCCAAGGGAGACTTTTTGGGTGTGCGTGTATAAAGAAACCACGAAGAGGCACTATTTCTCCCAAGAGTGACATCTTGTAGTCGCTAAGAGGAATGTTTTCTAAGAAGGAAGGACATATATTTGGTATTGATGTGTCTAAGAAAAACCAACAGAAAGAGGCACCTATTTCTCCAAGAGTGAATCGAGTGTTATCTAAGTAGTATGTAAGTTCTAAGTAAGGAAGACAAAATATTTGTGTCGATGTATTCAAAGAAACCAACGAAGTAGGCATCCTATTCTCAGAGTGACATACTCTGTTTAGTGCTTGAAAGTGACGTTTGTTCCAAGAAGGTAATATCATAGTTTGGTGTGATGTTATTTTCTAAAGACCATACAGAAGGCACTTCTATTTTCTCTTACCTTAATGAGTTTGATCTATTTTCTGTTTAGTGCTAAGTATGGTTGTTTATTTGTTTATAGTTCATCAAGAAGAATTAGTACATATTGGTTAATTTTGGATGTGTCTAAGTAAACACACAGAAGAGGTTCAACCTTATTTCTACCAAGTAGTGACATTCAGTATTGATGTTGCTAAGAGTGATGTTATTCCAAAAGGAAAGACATATTTGGTGTCGTGTATAAGAATACAACTAGTCAATGATGGCATTCTTATCTTTTTATTGTCTCACAGTAGTGGACATCAGAAGTGCCTATAGAGTGATGTTAGTTCCAAGAAAAGTATTCAATAGTTTGGTGTTTGATGTATTTAAAGAATCTAATAGTAAGAGGTCACCTAGTTTTTCTAGTTCGTCAATGAGTTGACTATGTCGTCTGTTGTTGCTTAATATGTTAGTGACGTTGAGTATCTCAAGAAGGAGTAGCATATTTTTGGTTATTTGATGTATCTAAAGAGAACATAGATCAAGAGACACCTATGTCTCCATATGATATGTTTGTCATCTTTCTTGTTTAGTGATAAGTAGCGATGTAGTTCATTAGAAGGATAGACTATATTTGGTATTTGTTTATTTTGTATCTAATGAATACTCTACAGTTAGTAAGAGGCACCTTTATTTCTTTCTTCCAAGAGTGACTATCTCTGTTAGTTGCTTAAGAGCGATGGTAGTTCAAGAAGTGTAGACATTATTTTGGTTGTTGAATGTATCAAAAGAAACCAGAATCTAGTTAATGAGGGCATCTAATTTTTTCTCTTCTCCAAGAGTATTTGACTATATCTGTTATGGGGGCTAGAGTAGATGTAAGTTCTAAGTAAATGAAGGACATTATGTATGCGTGTTGTATGTGTCTTATATACATTACAGATAAGGCACCTCTTTCTCCGAATAGAGTACAATCTCGTTAGTGCTAAAGAGTGATGTTGTTCTAGAAGGAAGACATATTTGTATGTCGATGTGTCATAGAGACCAAACAGAAGAGGCACCTATTTCTCTCATTGTTTGAGTGTTACGAAATCATGTTTAATTAGTGCTAAGTAGTGTATAGTAAGTTTCTGAAGAATGGAAGTTACATATTTGGTATGATGTATCAAAGAAACCAAACAGTATGAGGCATATTCCTCTATATTCTTACTCCGACAAGAGTGCTATCTCTGTTAGTGCTAAGAGCGATTTAGTTCTAAGAAGGTAAGACTAATTTTGGTATTGATGTGTATCAAGAAATCCACTAGAATGGAGGCACCTATTTCTCTCAAGAGTACTTATCTCCTGTTTAGTGTATAAGTCGATGTTTAGTTTATAGATAGGATAGACATATTTGTGTATTGATGTATCAATAAATCCATACAGAAAGAGCACCTTGTGATTTTCTCCAGAGTGACTCTCTTAGTGCTAGTAGTTGGATGTTAGTTTCTAAGAACGGAAGATCTATAATGGTGTCGGTGTCTGAAAGAAACCACAGAAAGGCACCTATTATCCCCAAGAGTGACTATTCCTTAAGTGCTTATAGAGTGAATGTTAGTTCCTAAGAAGGTAAGTATCATATTTGGTTCATTGCATGTTATCAAGATTAACTCATACAGTAAAGGCGACGCTATTTCACAAAAGTGACAATCTCTGTTAGTGCTAGAGTGGATAGTTTAGTTTCTATGAATGGAAGACATATTTGGTATTTGAATTGTTCATAGACCAACAGAGAGGCACTTTCTCCCAAGAGTTGACATCTCTGGTTAGGGTGCTAAGAGTGATGCAAGTCTAAGAGGAAGACATATTTGGTATGATGTTGTTCTAGAAACTCAACTATGAAAGCACCTGATTTCGCCCAGAGTGAATTCTGTTCGTTAGTGCTAAGAGTGTATTGTTAGTTTCAAGAAGGAAGATCATATTGGTGTCGATTATCACGAAATCCATTACAGATTGTAGAGGCCTTATTTTCTCTCCAGTAGTGTTTGTCTATTCTGTTGTTGCTTATAGAGTTTGATGTTAAGTTTCCTTATTAGTAAGGAAGACATAATTGGCTTTTGTATTGTGTCTTATTAGAAATCTTCAACAGAAGAGTTTTGTTCGATCTTATCTCCAGAGTTGATTCTATTTCAGTATTTTTTATGTGCTAAGAGTTTGTTATGTTAGTTTGTCTTAAGAAGTTTTTGATAGATCTTCTTTGGTGTTTGATGTGTCTAGAAACCAATCATGCATAGAGGCATTCCTATTTCCCAAGAGTTTGACATCTTTCTGTCTTATGTTCTAAGAAGGAAGACCATATTGGTATTGATGTGTCCTAAAGAAACCAACAGAAGAGGCACCTTATTTCTCCCTTAGTAGTGTACATCTCTGTACTGTTCTATTATGACAGGAAGACATATTTTGGTGTTCGATGTAATCAAAGAAACTCAATCACGAAGAGGCAACCATATTTTCCCAAAAGTGACATCTTCTGATTTTTATTTTTTTTTTTTTTTTTTTTTTTTTTTTTTTTTTTTTTTCTTTTTTTTTATTTATTTTTTTTTTTTTTTTTTTTTTTTTTTTAGTTGCTCAACGAGTGCGATGTAAGTTCTCTAAGAAGGAAGACATATTGGTATTTGAGTGTCATTTAGACCACAGAAGAGGACCTTTTCTCCACAGAATGCATCTCTCGTTTATTAAGGATGAGTAAATTCTACAGAAGGAGCAGTATTGGGTAATTGGAGAAGTATCAGGAGAGAACCATCAGAAGAGGCAGCTATTGTCACCAAGAACAGTCAGGTAGTAAGGTCAAAGAGTGGATGTAGTGTCATAAGAAGAGAAGACATTTAGAAGAGAAGAAACCACAGCGAGGCACACAGATAGTTCATACCCAAGAGTGACATCTCTGCTAAGTGTGCTAAGAAGGAAAGCATATAGTGGTATTGAATGTATCTAGAGACAGCCAACAGAAGAAAGAGTCACCTCTACTTCTCCAAGAGGTAGACATCCTGTTAGTGCTAAAGATGTAGGATGTAAGTTTAAGAAGGTAAACAGACATATTTGGTATGGCGTCTAGTGTCATTAGACCAGACTAGAAGAGGCACCTTTTCTCCAGGATGACCGATTCTGTTAGTGCCTAAGTTAAGGATACATAGTTGGTATTGAGTTCAAAGAAACAACAGAGAGGCTACCTCATTTCTCCAGAGTGACATTCTTTCTGTTAGTGTCTTAATAGATTGATGTAAGCTTCCGAACCGAGTGAAGACAGTCTTTGGCATTTGATGCTTCTAATTAAATCAACTTAGAATGAGGCACACTATTTCTCCCAGGTGCATCTCTGTATTGCTCTTAAGAGTCGATGTTAGTTCTCAGAAGGAAGAATATTTCGTGATGTTGCTCTAAGTAACAAACCGAAGATTGCTACCCATTTTTCCAGTAGTCATTCTCTGTTAGTGCTAAGAGCTGATGTTAAGCTTCCAGAAGGAAGACATATTGGCTTGATGGTCCTAAGAATACTCACAGACGCGCACCTATCTTTTCTCCAAGAGTGACATCTCTGTTTGATAAGACAGTGATGTAGTTCTAAGAAGAGCACATATTCTTTGTCGATGTTCAAAGAAACCACACAGAAGAGAAGCACCTATTTCTCCAAGAGTGACATCCTCTGTAGTGCATACAGAAGTGATGTAAGTTTCCAAGGAAGACATATTTTAGTGTGTCGATGTTATCTAAAGATACCTTAACAGATTTGAGGCACCTTTATTTCTCAAGATGACATCTCTGTTTGTTAGCTATATCGTTAAAAGAGTGATGTTAGTTCTATAGAAGGAAGTACATTTGGTAGTGATGTATCAATTAGAACCACGACGAGCACCGAATTTCTCTTCCAAGTTAGTTGATCATATTTTTTCCAGTATTAGTGTCTAAATGTAGTGACATTAGTTCCATGAGAATACGACATTTTGGTGTTGAATGTGCAAGAAACCTATACAGAAGAGGTCATTCTCTTTGCTTCAGATGAGTGCATCATTCGGTTAGTGCTAAGAGTGATGTTATGATTTCTATAGAAGGAATGCATTATTGTGTTGATGTGTCAAAGAACCAACAGACAGGGCACCTATTTTTCTCCAAGAGTGACATCTCTGTTAGTGCTAAGTGTGATGTAAGTTCTAAGAAGGAAGACATATTTGGTGTCGATGTATCAAAGAAACCAACAGGAGGCACCTATTTCTCCCAAGAGTGACATCTCTGTTAGTGCTAAGAGTGATGTAAGTTCTAAGAAGGAAGACATATTTGGTGTTGATGTGTCAAAGAAACCAACAGAAGAGGCACCTATTTCTCCCAAGAGTGACATCTCTGTTAGTGCTAAGAGTGATGTTAGTTCCAAGAAGGAAGACATATTTGGTGTCGATGTATCAAGAAACCAACAGAAGAGGCACCTATTTCTCCCAAGAGTGACATTTCTGTTAGTGCTAAGAGTGATGTAAGTTCTAAGAAGGAAGACATATTTGGTATTGATGTGTCTAAGAAACCAACAGAAGAGGCACCTATTTCTCCAAGAGTGACATTCTGTTAGTGCTAAGAGTGATGTAAGTTCTAAGAAGGAAGACATATTTGGTATTGATGTGTCTAAGAAACCAACAGAAGAGGCACCCATTTCTCCCAAGAGTGACATTTCTGTTAGTGCTAAGAGTGATGTTAGTTCTAAGAAGGAAGACATATTTGGTGTCGATGTATCAAAGAAACCAACAGAGAGGCACCTATTTTTCCCAAGAGTGACATCAGTATTAGTGCTAAGAGTGATGAGAAAAGACATATTTGGTGTTGATGTGTCTAAGAAACCAACAGAAGAGGCACCTATTTCTCCAAGAGTGACATCAGTTAGTGCTAAGATGATGTAGTTCTAAGAAGGAAGACATATTTGGTATTGATGTGTCCAAGAAACCAACAGAAGAGGCACCTCTTTCTCCCAAGAGTGACATCTCTGTTAGTGCTAAGAGTGATGTTAGTTCCAAGAAGGAAGACATATTTGGTGTCGATGTATCAAAGAAACCAACAGAAGAGGCACCTATTTCTCCCAAGAGTGACATCTCTGTTAGTGCTAAGAAGGAAGACATATTTGGTATTGATGTGTCTAAGAAACCAACAGAAGAGGCACCTATTTCTCCCAAGAGTGACATCAGTATTAGTGCTAAGAGTGATGTAAGTTCTAAGAAGGAAGACATATTTGGTATTGATGTGTCCAAGAAACCAACAGAAGAGGCACCTCTTTCTCCCAAGAGTGACATCTCTGTTAGTGCTAAGAGTGATGTTAGTTCTAAGAAGGAAGACATATTTGGTGTCGATGTATCAAAGAAACCAACAGAAGAGGCACCTATTTCTCCCAAGAGTGACATCTCTGTTAGTGCTAAGAGTGACGTTAGTTCCAAGAAGGAAGACATATTTGGTGTTGATGTGTCTAAGAAACCAACAGAAGAGGCACCTGTTTCTCCCAAGAGTGACATCTCTGTTAGTGCTAAGAGTGATGTTAGTTCCAAGAAGGAAGACATTTTTGGTGTCGATGTATCAAAGAAACCAACAGAAGAGGCACCTATTTCTCCAAGAGTGACATCTCTGTTAGTGCTAAGAGTGACGTTAGTTCCAAGAAGGAAGACATATTTGGTGTTGATGTGTCTAAGAAACCATCAGAAGAGGCACCTGTTTCTCCCAAGAGTGACATCAGTATTAGTGCCAAGAGTGATGTTAGTTCTAAGAAGGAAGAAACTGTAGGTACTGATTTAAGTTCTAAGAAAGAAGCTTTAGATATTGATGTATCTAAGAAAGCAACTGAGGAAGCCTTAACTTCTCCAAAAAGTGACATTTCTGTTAGCACAAAAAGTGATATATCATCTAGAAAAGAAGATGCACTCGATATTGGTGTCATGAAGAAATCATTTGATGAAACTGTAAGTCTTAAGAGTGACATCAGCTCTAAGAAAGAAGACATGACCACAAAGTCAAAGGATGAAGCTCCAATGTCACCAAAGAGCGATATTTCTATCAGTGCTAAGAGTGATTTTAGCTCAAGTCCAAAGGAGGAAGTAGGTCTTTTGATGATTGATACTACGAAAAAGCCTCTTGACGCCGCACCAGAATCTCCAAAGAGTGACATATCTGTGAGTGAGAAAAGTGATACTAGTTCTAAAGCTGGTAAAGAGAGCATTACAAAGAGTATCACAGAAGATATGCCACTGTCATCAAAGAGTGATATTTCTGTCAGTGCCAAAAGTGACACAAGTTCTTTGGCTGGGAAATTGGAACCCTTGACAGTTGAAGTTTCAAAGGTATCTACTGAACAGAAATCATTGTCTAGTGATAAATCTGAGAGTGTTAAGAGTGACAAGAGCTCTAAGGATGAACCAAAGAAAAGTGAAATTCCAGTTTCTCCAAAGAGTGACATCTCGCTTAGCCTAAAAAGTGACATTATTCCCGAAGATGTATTGCATAAGCCCATGGATGCAGCACCCGTATCCCCTAAGAGTGACACTTCACTTAGTGCTAAGAGTGATGTTAGCTCTAAGGATGTTTCCAAGAAGTTAACTGACAAAGTGCCACTTTCTCCTAAGAGCGATGCCAGTCTTAAGAGTGATACTGATAAATCTGACATGCTCACTACAAAAGGAAAAGTTAAAGCAGAAATGCCTTCAGAAAGTGTCAAAGTGACACAGCCTTATTTGGATTCAGGTGTTAGTGAAGAGCCAGTATATGCTATGCTAAAAGCAGAACGTGCAGAAATTGTAACCGTTTCTCCCGACACCACACCAGGATCGACACCACTGTCGCCAACCTCACGTGAGGTCGGTGCACCTTTCCCTGTTACATCCAGCTTTACTACAGCTGCAGTTCAAAGAGAGAAGTCGGATGTCATGACATCCTCAATTTATGAAGAAACAACTGCTACATTTACAGAGGATATTACTGATGCAATGGCTACATCTGTGCATGGAGGTTTTGACATTATGACTTCTTCTATGTATGAGCCCAGTGAAGATCTCATGTCTTCGTCCATGTATGGAGAAGATTTTATTACACATGGTGTACTTGATGAGGACACTAAATATACATTACAAGAATCTACTGTGGCCTTAACCAAAACTGACAAGCCTGGAGACATGATGTCAGCTTCAATGTATGGCACCCTTGCTGGAGATGACCTTCAGAAGTCCACAGATGAAACTCTCCCAAGTGTCTCACGCAGTAAGACACAGCTGGATGATCAAAAGTCTACACCTTATACTGAATCTCCTCGTAGTGATCTGTCCTCTGATGCGCATCATATGCCCTCAATGTCACCACGTAGTGATGGGTATGAAGCTGAATTAAGTGGTCAGTTTGAGGGCCGTGATGAAGATCAGCCTCCAGCTTCTCCGCGTTCAGATATCTCATCCATATCAGACATTGTTCGACGAGAACAAAAACATCCCGTGACTGAAAAGTCTATGATGGAGACCAGCATGGTTGTGATGGATAGCGGTCGGTCTATGTCTCCAAAAAGTGATACCACTGTAAGTGATATAGCAGCAAAGGATGGGTTAGACTCATTAGATTCCTTTAGACTACAACCTGTCCTTGACACAGATAGAGAGGCAGATGAAGGAAAGCCCATTTCTCCTCGCAGTGACACTTCCGGAAAAAGTGAAGCTTCTGGAAAGGATTCAGCTTATGATGACCGGGACAAATTATCTAGTCTGGAAAGTCAGACCCTGCCATCTATTACAAGTGACATAAAAATGTCAGAACAGACATCTGTTGTAGAGAAGCGTGTAGGCCTACAAGAAACTCTAGCTTCAGCAAAAACGATGCTTATAAGTGAAGTTTCAACTACAGATAAATTCCAAAAGGTTTCTGAATCTGTTTCTGAAAGCACAAAGAGTGATAGCACTACAGTATTTTCGACTGTCCATAGGTCGACTACCGAGGTCAGTAGCAAAGATAGCACAAAGGTTATGGTTGACAAATCAGATGTGTCCAAAAGCACAAAGTCAGAAACATTAACAGATGTTGCATCTCTGAAGACTAAAACAGGTATTGAAGATGAAACATCTGTTAGTTATAAGGGAGAAGCGACATACTCAGAAACTCAAGAAGCCATAATGGTATCTCCAAAAAGTGACGCTTCTGCAAGCTCAAAGAGTGACGTTACGTCTGTAGATGCAAAGGACCTGCCAAAGGATCCATCATACCTTGGTGAACAACCTAAAGTAACAACAGGATCGTCTGAGAGTGACATATCTGAAGGCATATTTAAAGAAGAAATCAGTGAGACTGTGAAATCATTTACAGAAGCGTTTGGAGTCAGTGAAGTGGTTCAGGGAATCAAAACGGCTGTGACCACAAGTAAGACTTCCTTCCAAGATTTCAAGGAACCTGCTTCTCCACCTCCTTCACCAGTAAAATCCATAGGTAAACCTGATTTCCCCGTTTCGTCAAGCACATCATCCCTCCAAGAAAGTGAATCTTCAGTTTTTGGTAAAGCTGAATCAGTTACCAAAGATGAAATCAAGAGTAAAGACACAACCTTTACTTCATCTGTAACAGCAGAAGAATCTTCTACAACTAGTTCACTCACACGAACACTCGTATCATCAGTACATGACTCATCTATATCAACCTCAACCACTACAACATCAGCATCTAAACTTGCATTTACTGTTGCTGATGACAAAAAACTATCTGATCTTCCTGTATCTAAGCCAGTCAAAGGAGATGACAGAAGACCATCATCTGATAAGTCTTCGTCACCTCCTCCACCCTCCTCTTCCTTCTCCTCCTCCAGTGGTGTTGAGGGTATTGTGAAAGAGGTTAAAGAAGGTAAAGACCATATCGAAACAACTTCAGCTATAATTGCAGAAAAGCTCATGGCTGAAGTTGAAGAGATAACTTCAAGCAAGACACAAACTTCAACCTCCGAGCAAGTGTCAACCGAAGAGTACAAGTCTGTCACTGCCATTACTGATAAGTCTAGTTCTGTTAAGGAAACATTATCCACTGTAGTATCTTCACAGGCGACTCATATTAAGGATAGTCAGGAATTTAGTAGCACCAGCCACTTTATGAAGGAAAAGGAACACACTGAGGAGACTACAGACCAAAAGGAAATATCAGAAAAGTACTTCACAAGTGTAAAACCCAAAATGGATACTGAAACTATTATGCAGAGCATAGTTAGTGCTGAACCTGCAGAAATGGTTAGGACCTATGATGAGCCATCAGATTCTGAAACCGTTTCCACAAAGACTGTAATAAGGCGAACGATTGTTAGTGGTGAACCAACAGAAACAGTTGAAACAATTGATGAGCCTTCAGAGACTGAATCCATAACTAAGAGAATTGTTAGAACTGTTGTTACTGAAGGTGATCCCACTGAATACACAGAGACTTACGAAGAGCCTACTGATTCTGAAACTATAACAACAAGGAGAATTGTAAGGCGAGTCATTGTTCATGAAGGGGAGCCAGTAGAGACGGTAGAGTCATTCGAAGAACCAGATTCTGACACAGTAACTACAAAGATCATTAAAACTATTGATGGGGTTGAACCAAGTGAAATGGAAGAAGTATATGATGAACCAACTGATTCCAAGACTGTGACAACGAGGAGAATTGTAAAACGAACTATCATTAGTGGAGGTGAACCAACAGAATCAATAGAAACTGTAGAAGAGCCATCTGAGACCACTACAAGGACAATTATTAGAAGAACCATTGTCAGTGGTGGTGAACCAACTGAAACTGTAGAGACTGTAGAAGAACCTTCAGAATCTGCGTCTGTTACCAGGACCACAATAAAGCGAACCATTATTAGTGGAAGTGAACCCTCTGAGACAGTAGAGACTATGGAAGAACCATCAGAATCAGGTACCGTTACTAAGAGAACTATCATCAGGAGAACCATTGTCAGCGGTGGTGAACCAGTTGAAACTGTTGAGACAGTAGAAGGACCTTCGGAATCTGAATCTGTTACAAGAACCACTGTAAAGAGAACCATCATCAGTGGAAGTGAACCATCCGAGACAGTAGAGACTATGGAAGAACCATCAGAATCAGGTACCGTTACTAAGAGAACTATCATCAGTGGTGAACCAGTTGAAACTGTTGAGACAGTAGACCTTCGGAATCTGAATCTGTTACAAGAACCACTGTAAAGAGAACCATCATCAGTGGAAGTGAACCATCCGAGACAGTAGAGACTATGGAAGAACCATCAGAATCAGGTACCGTTACTAAGAGAACTATCATCAGGAGAACCATTGTCAGCGGTGGTGAACCAGTTGAAACTGTTGAGACTGTAGAACTTCAGAATCTGAATCTGATGAATCTGTTACAAGAACCACTGTAAAGAGAACCATCATCAGTGGAAGTGAACCATCCGAAACATTTGAGACTGTAGAAGAACCATCAGAATCAGGTACTGTTACTAAGAGAACTATCATCAGGAGAACCATTGTTAGCGGTGGCGAACCAGTTGAAACCGTTGAGACTGTAGAACCTTCGGAATCTGAATCTGTTACTAGAACCACTGTAAAGAGAACCATCATCAGTGGAAGTGAACCATCCGAGACAGTAGAGACTATGGAAGAACCATCAGAATCCGGTACCGAGAACTTCATCAGGAGAACATTGTCAGCGGTCAGTTGAAAGAGACTGTAGAAGAACCTTCGGAATCTGAATCTGTTACTAGAACCACTGTAAAGAGAACCATCATCAGTGGAAGTGAACCATCCCAGTTGGAAGAACCATCAGAATGTACGTTACTAAGAGAACTATCATGAACCATTGTAGAACCAGTTGAACCTTCAGAATCACGAGTCTTTAGAGACTAGAACCATCATGTACCGTTACTAAGAGAACCACCAGTTCACTGTGAAGTCAGAAAGTCTGCTAGCACCGTAAAGAGAACCATCATCAGTCTAAAGAGAACCATCATCAGTGGAAGTGAACCATCTGAGACAGTTGAGACTGTGGAAGAACCGTCAGACTCAGGTACAGTTACCAAGAGAACAGTTATAAGAAGAACAATTGTTGGCAGTGGTGAACCGACAGAAACTGTGGAGACTGTAGAAGAACCTTTGGAATCTGATGCTGTAACAAGAACAACCATTAGGCGAACTATTATAACAGGAGGTGAACCCACCGAGACTGTTGAAACAGTTGACGGAACAGAAGCCACAGGTACATCAGAAGAATCAGATTCTGGGTCTGTAACAAAAACAATTATTAAGCGAACCATCATCACTGGAAGTGAACCTACTGAGACAGTAGAAACTATTCAGGAATCCTCAGATTCTACAGATGCATCATCACATACAGTTGTGAGGAAGACAACTTTTACAAGTGGTGATGAAAAGACAGAGACAACAGAGAAAGTGCAAAGGCCCACTGGCGATAAGTCTGTGACATCTGTAATGAGAACCATCGAAGGAAAGGAACCATCAAGTCTAGGAATGGGTGAATTGCCTTCGGAGAGCAGAATCATCAGTACACTAAAGGAGTCATCAATCAGTTCTCTGGAGTCGTCAGATAGTTTTGAAATGAAATCCGAATCCACAAAATCTACATCAGAAACAAGTGAAAGCAAGAGGACTGTCAGTTCAGAAGAATCTGTGAAAACTTCATCTAGCAGTAAATTCAGTTCTGACATTTCAAAATCCAGCTCTGAGACTACCCATGAGGATATCAGAAGTTCAAGGGAATCTGTCTCAACAAGTGAAGAGAGCACAATGCATGAAGGTCAGAGAATTAGTTCCATCAGAAAGTCTTCAACAAGCAGCACAGAGGGTACTCCAGGTAGCCCAAGGACTGGACGTGTAGTAGTAAGGAAAGTCACAACAGTGATCACAAAATACTATGAAGATGGGGAAGAAGTTCAGACAGAGGAAATGCCTGGTGGAGAAGTTGTTGAAGTTCTCGGTGACCAACAAATTTCAGAAGATATTATGCGAAAAATTTCTGGTTCCTCATCACCATCTCCAATTACCCGCAGAAAACATTCCAGTGGAGTACCTGGATCAATGACCTACACCACTTCACACTCACTCTCTGGTCCTTGGACAAGTGACGAATCTCTCAGTGGTGAGCCAACTGTTATTACACGTACTACTCGCACTGTTACAACAGACAGCGATACTGATGCCTCTGAAGGTGTGAAGGCTAGCACTGTCACCACAGTCACTCGACGGATGGTGGGTGATGATGTATCTGATAAAGAAGAACGACCTCGATCTGCTAGCAGTGATGCAAGCAGTAGAGAAGCTTTTATGTCATCACTCAAAGAAACACGTTCTGAGGCAAGAGATGCAGTTAGCAAAGTTTCTACTAGTCAGCACCCATCTACAGCATATACTACACACTACGGTGCCACAGGTTTGCAGTACCAAGAAGAGTATGATGATGAGCCTGTGTATGAGTACCATCCTCCTTCTGGAGCCCACATGGATCAGTTCATGTACGGTGAGCAAGCTGGGGACTATGATAATGGAAATCTTCCATCTCGAGCTATGGAGCCATCTATGGCCGAGAGCGAAGACAAGCTTAATAGAAACCAGGCATGGAAAACAACCAAGGCATCAAGCAAAGAAGAGGGATCAACCACTTCTATTACATCTGTAACTACTACAACATCTGCTTCAAAAGAAAGTGATCTAGCACGTGATGCCAAAGATACCCTGCAGAAGTGGGGAAAGCCTCTCGGCCTGCCATCACCAGTGCCTGCACCCGCACCACTTCAGCCCTCAGATAACCCAAGTACACACACCCCACGCAGAGAGCGCAAAACAAGCAGGAAGTCGAAGAGAACAGTTGCACCAGTTTATCTGGATTTGGCGTATGTGCCTCATGCTGCTAACCCAAATTACTCCAATGTTGATTTCTTCAGGAGAGTGAGAGCGCGATATTACGTCTTCTCAGGCATCGACCCTGGCAGGGAGGTGCTTGATGCCCTCCTCCAGGCCAAGATGGAATGGGAAGATAAAGAATTGGGTAAGTTTTGCTTTGGTCATCCGAGAAATTTCTTAATCCTTTGCAGTGTTCCAGTTTTTGCAAAGTTAATATTGTGTTATTCTAGGAATGATTGCTGAACTCAGGATACAGCCTCTTTGAATTGAAGCTTCTTATTTTGGATTCTACATTTCTAACTTCATATTTCTGAAAATCATCTCATAAAATATGTAGATTTTCCATTAGTATATGCATGTTTTATTATATAACCTTTGATGCCAGTTAAACTGTGTTGTCAAATATTTGTATATTTAATTTTCAGAGGTAACGATCATTCCCACCTATGACACTGACGCTCTGGGCTACTGGGTGGCTGCCAACGAAGACGCACTCATCGCCAACAAAATTGACCTCGCCCCATCAGCTTCACGTTGTACTATCAACTTGCAAGATCATGAGACGAGCTGCAACGCCTATCGTCTTGAGTTCTGAGCAACTTGAGACATCCCCTCTTCGCCCGTGTTCGACCACCAATAGACATCCATGCCCGACTTGTGCTTAGGGGTGTTGTGCTCTGGGCACTCGACAACCCCTTCCCCGCTGCCTTCCACAAGAATTTGAGCTCTTACTAAGCCGTCTGTGTCCTCAAATCCTAGTGATTAGTGCTGACTAGGCCATCCACAGTATTTTCGTTGAATGACCTTTTCACATGAATGTGAAATAAAGTTTTTTTGTTCTACAAAGTGTAGTACCTTTGTCTTTCGAGACAGAAGTCATAACAAGGTTCGTGATAATGGATTTTGATTTATTGGAAAAAGGATGGTATTCCACTGGATTTAACAAGAAAAGTGAATGTTCTGCTATTAGTAGTAGCATAATCAGTCACTCACCATAATAGATGGTTCCATGTCTCCACTGTGTATAAACAGATTAAATATATATTCAGTATAATGACGAAACAGATAATGACCTCTTATGAACCCGAATTCTACATTTATCAAGAGGCACACAGAAACTGTGCTGAGAATTACACCAACTGTGAATTGTTCTGTTAAGTGACACCAAGAATGAACACTCCTGTGACCGAATAGGGCTAAGCAATATGCATTTTACTGTAAATCGATAAATAGGATTATACACATTCAGCGTGATATCTACTGCAGTCTCTAGGTAGGCCATGATGCAGACATGGCTAAGAAACAGATTGCTCATTTTGTAAAATAAAGCGTTATGAAACTGTTCTTGACAGTGATAAGCTATATAGAGTTTAAGGCATATATAAAAAAAAGAGTTAAAATGTCTTTGTTATGATATGATAAGATGTATACTAGTAGTTTATAATCAGCCGGTTGATGAGAGCTAGGCCTATTTTTCTTGAGCGGGGCTGAGAAGTTACAATATTCTTTATCTTCCAGAAGGTG